AGTGGCAGTATTCGGGGTCCCCTCATGCTTTGCCTAAAAGCCCGGAACCCAGACTCTTGCTCAGTCTCCTCCAGGTGACACCTCACTCCCTGGGTCTGCTTTCCCATGTCGCCCATGGTGATAAAGGCTGTTTGACTCTTCAGAAAATTCCATTATCCAGTCTGCTGATTTAGGGCGTAGACCACTTTAAAGAATTCTTTTTATTTCCCAAGATCAAGGTACACAGGAGCTCAGTAAATCTCCTAACTCCTGAGAAGGGCTCAACTGAAACAGTCTATACTTGGGCGGTCATTACTACCTTTTCCCTGTCTTTCCGTCCCCACCATGAGGAGAAAGGCACTGATTCCAGTGATCGGTAACATTTGCTGAATGCTTTCTATGTGCTGGGCATTGTTCTAAGCACCTCATTTACATAGACCTTATTGAGTCCTTGCAACGCTTGTATGAGATAGTGACTCTTAAGATCCCATTTTATAGATATGGGACTTGGTGCTCACAGAGGGTGAGCAACTTGCCCAGAGTGACCCAGGTGCAGAGTCAGGATTTAGACCTGGGTCCTGACAGATTGCTGTCCCTACATCTGAGGCCAGGTAAAGGGTCAGTGGTGCCCTAGTGTCTCCAGGAGAGGGCATGAAACAAACATCTCAGCATCAGGATCGCATTTGCAGAGGCAGGCTGCTCCCTCCGGGAGAGGCTCAGCATAGCTGAGGGACCGCTCCTGTCCTGTGCAGTCTGGGGTGCCCTGTGCTGAATGCACTGGTGGTGGGGGTGCCTGTGCCATGTGCTCTGCCAAGCTCTCATCCTGCTTAGACCTTGTGCAAGCGGTTCACTAGCATAAGTCAGACGTGCGCGTGATGTGCCGCCACTGAACAGAAGCCTGGAGAGTGGAGTATGGTCTCTGACTAAGAGATTTCCCTGGGGGTTGGTGGGAGGGAAGGATGACTTGGCAGAGCACAAGATTTTTACGGCCGTGAAGCTATTCCGTATGATGCTCTAATGTGGATACATGTCAGTATACACTTGTCCAGACTCACAGAATGCCCAACCCAAGAGTGAATGCCGATGGAGAGCCTTTGGGAGACCACGATGAGACCACGATGCGCCCGCGTGTGTTCATTTGTAACAGGATGCCACTCCGGTGGGGGGCGTTGGTAATGGGGGAGGCTGTGCATGTGGCGGGGGGCAGTGGGTGGGCGGGAGATCTCTGTACTTTCCTTGCAGTTGTGCTGTGTGTGAACCTAAAACTGCTCCAAAAAATATCTTAAAAAAAAAAAAATTTCATGTCTTTCAGCCTCAGACCTCAATTATGAATATCCTATTCCTTTGCTCCCCTGTGAAGTTTGGGCCAGTTGCGAACCCCAGTGGGAGAGGAGGCCATATCAGGAAATACAGAATTCAGACAGGCCTCAGGATACAGAGGCAGCTTCCCAAGTGTGTGGTATAGCACACGGTGGCAGCCTCACCGCCCGCTCAGGGTTCTGGAAGACGAAGCCAGCGAGATAGCACCCTGCTGTCTTCAGTAATATATTATGCTACGCTTGCTTTTTTTTCCCCCCCCCCATGGCTATGGTGTTATGGGAATAAGTTACTGTCATTTTTTTGTTTTTGTTTTTTTATGGATTAATCAGCGTTTTCAGTTAAATCATTTTAAACTTGAGCATTAGGATGAGTTCTAAATTATTAATGCTGCCTGCTGCAGTCCAGAAGAGGCAGTGCCTGGACACAGCACTGTCCCGTCTCATCTCTCCTCTGAACCTTACAGCACCCCACGGGGGTGGGAAGCTGGGTCCTGTTCGCTCCTTGTGCTGGAAATAAAGGCTCACAGAGGCCGAGGCAGTGGTCTAAGTCCTTGAGCCAGAGCCTCAGTTACCTGGTCAAATTCAGAATGCAGAGTCATACAGACTCTTTCATCGTAGGTGCGTGTGAACGTGTATTATTTATTGTTCTCCATTAAGAAATCCTTCTTCAAGGACATTCCTTCCTTAGGTAAGTTGGCCCGGCTCTCTTCCTGGGAAGGTATCTCGTACCCAGTAGGTGCTCAATAGATGTTTACTGTTGAATGAACAAATGTGTGAGCTCGGGGCCATCGTAACTGCAGGCAGAGCGTGGTGTGGGCAGGCCGCCCACTCTCCGTAGCTTCTCTGTGTCCCATGCCAGCTCGCTTTTCCCTGGGGCTTCGAGGCAGCCACTCAGCCCCTTTCTGTATCTCTAGGCTGGTTAACTCTGCCATGGCCTAACCTTCCTTCCTTCTCAGTCCTGCCTGCTCCCCCATCTTCCTAATCTTATGATCTTTTCTGGAAATGCTTTTTCTACCTATGTTTTCTGATGAAAAATTTCAAATGTTGAGAAAAGTTGAGAGGGTCATATATGGTCTGTTCTTATAACATGTGGCAGGAACTGGGCCTCCCAGTGTCCTGATGTGGCTCCATTACCTGGACCCGTGCCGTTCAGCGGCCTTCGTTGTGGACATAGCACACACGCGACATCGGTCTTCTCCCCAGCCCTCCTACCTCAGTCACCGCTGTGCGTCTTCACAGCAGCGTCAACCTGGAGCCACAGGTCTCGGTTTCGATCCTGGCTCTGGCATTTAAAGGTGTGTGTTGTGTGACTGACTTAATAACCTCCCCAGGTTTGTTCTTCATCCGTACAGTGGATCGATGTCACTGTGAGGGGCCGATCAAACAGTAGCTCTGCATTACTGCCTGTGGGCGGTGGCAGTTATCGTGTTGCTTAGGGCTGGATGCGGAGTTTGCAGTTGGACAGGTTTATATTCAAATTCCAGCTCTGTTTTTACATTTAATTTCTTTGAGTCTGTAAAACGGATTTGAAGATAGCTTCCTGCAGAGCCGATCCGCAGCACCAATGAGACAATGTGCATGAAACATTTAAGTGGTGGCTGCTCGAGCTGTCATCAAGTCCTTAAGGTTGGAAGCTTCCCGGGGGCACCTTCCCTGCCACGTACCTTCACTCTGGCAAGGTCTGAGGCTGCTGGGTTCTGCCCTTGTTGCGTGCCACCCTCACCTTTTTCATGTCACTCTGCCTTCCTCTTGTGACCCGACTCACACCTGGTCAGGGCCTTCGCATGTGCCTTTTGCTGTGTGCAGTGGTTTTCCTCCGCACAGCAGCAGGCTGGCACCCGCTCTCCACCAGGCCTCTGCTCACGTGTCGTCTCCTCGGAGACGCCTTCCCAGAGCACCCGTGGGAGATGGCACCACGCCCGCCATCAGTCTCACGTCGCCGTCGTTTTCCTCCTGGCACCCCCATTACCCTGAGTGTGACGTGCGCATTTGTTTGATTGTCCCCCCTACTAGGGAGAAGGCCTCTTGTGCGGGCAGGGACTTTGGTCTGTTTTATTCTCTCTTCACCTGCAGTGCCAAGGACAGTGCCTGTGTCTTTAGGTGCTTGACAAATGCATGTTGACCCATTGGTTTTTGGTTCTTCTTGGTGATGGCGACACCAGGAGAGGGCTGCCTGAGGAACAGACCTCCTCGCGGGCACCGTAGGAGGCCCCGTTTCTGCAGTGGGGAAGCCAGGGTGACCTCTTAGTCACATCCTCACCACACAGATGTGGCTGCTCTGGACTGGAAAAGACAGCGGAGGGTCTGTTTTTTTGTCCCACCTCATCTGAACAGAGGAGCTTCTCCTGGAGGTTGGGGAGGAGCCCCCATAATTCATTTCCTTTCTTCCCCGTGAGACCTGGGCTGCGGGCTTCCACTTCCTCCACTGCCGTCTGAGGACCGCGTTGGTCTCATCACCCCATTTCTTCCCCAGGGTCTCTGACGAGCCTTTCTCCCTGCGTCCGAGTGTAAGGGGCAGAGACCCACCTGTTTATCTGTCTTCTTCCTCCTCTGTTTCCTCTTCTTTGCAGTAATTTATAGCCTATTAGAATGGGACGGTGGCACGTGTTTGTTAGGTGTGTATAAAAAATTAATTGAGATAGTTAGTGCCTGTAAGGGCTTTCAACAGAACTTGACAAGTGTAAGCATTCAAATATTAGCTAAAAGGAAGAAACCAACAGACCATCCTTCCTTCCGAAAGAGGACCTGAAGCAGCATATTAAAACAAACAAAAAAATAAATAAAGCGAGGCCAGTTATAGGTAAATTGGCACAGGTGGAGAGACTGGTTGGAGATCCCAGGTGAGGTTAGGGCACGTCAAGGTGGCCACATGGCCACGTACGATCACTAGATGTGCAATTTTGGCCGTGAACCTCCTAGCAGCCAATCCCAAGAGGGAAATATTGTTCATAGAGTTTTTTGGGGCAGAGTGAACAACCCAAAGCAAAATTGGCTCTCCAGGAGAAACTCAGAAGTTCAGGTCTTGAGATCTGAGTGATATGGTGAACAATGTTCTTAATATATGGTGGACAGTGACAGCGGTTGTTTGACGTAGTAGGAAACTTGGGTGGTTGTCTAATTTAAAGGTGTGGTTTCCTATCAATGAATGCTTTTCTACACAAAAGGTATATGGAAGAGTAGCTCCTGTAAGTAGCTGTGGACTTACAGGAGAGGGGACCCCTCCCCCCTTACAGTGTCGCCTGTATGCTAACTATGGCAGTCGGTGAAGGAAAACCAGATAGCTTCCTAAACCTGAGTAAGCATTTCTGTGTCAATGTGGACCCAAGTGTGACTCGATCTGCTTCCGTCTGATCTGTTGATAAATAGCTATAACTGGGAATTTGTCATTGTTCAAAACAGATGTTGTCCAGTAGCAGAGACTTAGAAAAACACTTAGAAATTGCAAGCCCTTTTCCAGAGCGGCTGAGTGTGTTCACCAAGGAAACACCTCTGCATTTGTTCCCATCTGCCCCACCTTTCCATTTTGTGTGATCGTGTGAGCCCATTGGATAACGGAGACCGTGTAGGGCTTATTTTTGAAAGGGAAAGGGAAGTTGTCTAGACAAGTCACCCAAAATAGTGCATAATTGAGATCGGTGAGAGCACGGTGTAACAGGCGAGACCGACCCGCTGATTAATTTTGACTTCGCTTTCTTCCCTTAGATGAACTGCGACAAGCCATCGTGGCCATGATGAATAGGAAAGAGGAGCTGGAGGAAGAGAACAGGTACCGAGATCTTCAGGCTCGAGGCAGAGGTTCTGCCTTCGTCATTCTGCCTCTGAGATGGAAAAAATATCACAGATGGAGGAAATTTTGCGTTGTTGGCAAAATTGCAGCCAATGGTTTCTTGCTTTTTGCCTGGAAAGTACAACTTTAGTGTATGTGTATTGTAGCCTGAGTGTTAGCAAAGGAAGAAAACCTTACAATCGCGGTACCAACTTAGAATGAACTAAGAATTTTTAAACAGCTTTTATTAAGATATTATTCACATACCATACAATTCACCCATTTAAACTATACAATTCTGTGGCATTTTGTATATTCGCAGCTATGTGCAGTCATCACCATGGTTTTAAAACATTTTCATCGTGTAGGAAGAAACCCCATCCATCCCCTTTAGTATCACTCTCCGACATGGTAAAGTGGGGTCGCTTTGGAGTAACTTTTAATTAAGAGCCTGTCAGCCATGTTCCAGGCACCTGAACACTTGTCTTAGAGTTTTTTCAAATAAGGGATGCTTGGGGCAAGATAGTATTTGAATTCTTCGGACTTCCTTAACAGCTCAGTTGTGGACATCGAGAGGACAAAGCATTTTATCTTTTATTCCCTGTTGAAACCCAAGCCGGATACTAGGCAGGGGTCAGCTGTGTCGTTGCCATCTGGCTACCTGAACAGGGGCTTTTCAACTGCCAGGACCTTGTCTAGTCTTGGCTATAGGGTGGTCAGCGGAGGGATTTGCCTGTAGGTATCTGCTGAGCTTCAGTGAACACGATTAGGCTGCTTCCCTGGGGGTTAGGGGTGGTATGTTGTGTACCTGTGTGTGTGTGTGTGAGTGTATGTGAGTGTGTGTTTACTTAGAGGGGGAATTAAGCATCCATGATGACATGGAATCATGATCCTCCTTTTTAAACCTTATTTTGGGCCCTCCTTGACAAGCTTCTCCCTCATCCTTTACAGAAACATCTAAAAGCAAACAAACATGATTTCTAAAATAAGGGAATTTTTAAAAACAGAATCTTTAGACAGTACAGTTTTCCAACTAAAACTTTCAACAAGGGGCATATAGACACTGCAGAGGTCCTTTTCCTCGGTTCAGCGGGAGCTAGTGTTTTGGAAGAAGTCATGGGTTTTGTCTTACCTTGTGAGGAGCAGTAGTCACTGTCAATTTCTTCTTCCCAGAGGAAGAAAAAATCACCCTGTTTGTGTGAGTGTCCTAGGCCCTAAGAGGGGAGTTTTCTTAAAACTCTCAAGGACCACAGGTCTTGGAAAAGTACGGTGAAGAGTGGGAGTGGGGAGGTCAGACACTTTCGCTTATATTCCGATGTCACATGACAAGTATCCCCTAGATTTGAGAGGGAGATGCACCGATGTCAGGAAATGTTTTCTAGAAATAGCCACTTAACGTCCAGCGAAATAAATGGTCAGTGGAATCATGCTCGGCTCATTTCTAGGTGGTAACTTGAGGTTATTTCTGGAAGAGCTGTCTTCTGCACTGTTAAAACCAAGGATGACAGATACGCAGGTGGACGTGTTTTAGGGGGTTAACAAACTCCATATATCACATAAAACGTGATACATGCAGCCTCAAACTATATTGCTCTGGAAACCGGTATACAAGCTTGTTTAACCTGGAGATGGCAACAGAGCAGGGTTAAAGTGTGTTTTGTGGATAGAAGTGAATATGAGAGTAGATAACTATCAGATCATCTGAGCCTATGTTCTATTTTTATGGCTCCAATTATTCTTTTGGCCTGTCCTGTCATCCTTCCTTTGTTAAATCTCTTCTCCAGTGTGGCTGTGACAAAATGGTCATGGTTTAATATGCTGCGCCTTTGAGTAGGATGTCTGTAAGGGGCCTTGCCTGGGATTCACTCAACTCATCGTTTTCCCTTGATTGAAGCTGCCCGCGGGCAACAGCCCTCAGGGGGACACAGCCTGGGCTGCAGATGGTTCCCCTGGGGCTCATCCTAATTGTTACTCTGAGGTCCTGAGCAGAGTTTGGTATTTCCTTAAATCAATTTATATGAGATAGATTTGAATTATGGTTTATGCAGAGCCTTGTGGAAAACGATGATTTGGGACTTAGATAAATAGCCGTGTTCTGGACTCTATGGACTCTGAGTTAACAGCACTTGAACCCACGTGGCCCCTCTTCCCAGGTCACTGCGGAACCTGCTGGATGGGGAGATGGAGCACTCGGCTGCCCTCCGGCAAGAGGTGGACGCCTTGAAAAGGAAGCTGGCTGAGCAGGAGGAGCGGCACGTCATGAAGATCCAGGCCTTGGCAAGGTAGAGGAGGGCGGAGGGGTCGAGGTGGCGTGGGGAGGCTTTAAAACTCAAGCATACCTTTCACCAGTGCTTCTTAATTAAAAAAAAAAAATAAGATAGGAAATAAAACTTATGCATTTGATGTTTTAATTTATTTTGTTGGATAAATATTGAATGACTTGCATGCATATGGTTCAGAAAGTACAGATGGTTAAAATGTGCGACCCCCAGCCACCCAGTTTGCCCGGAGGTGGCCTTGTTACCGGTCCCAGAGGTGCTCGTGCAGACACAGCAGATCTGGGTGCCATATTTTCTTTTCATTGTCCTCCCCTTTCTTCCTCCTTTTCTTCCTTAATGCACAATGGTGGCGTAGCCTCTGCACCTCTGACTTTACGTTGCAGAAAGTGTTCTGTGTTGGTATCCACGGGGGTGCCATCTTTAATACCACGATACCTTTTTGCCTGGCAGCATCAGAAATGGATCTGTTGACCAGTGCACCAACAGCCAGGTGTTGAGGTGGTTTCTAGTCTTTGCTCCTTCTAATGCTGCCACCGTGAATAACCTTTGCATGTATCATTTTGTTCCTATGTGGCTATATTTGTTGGAAAAATTCCTGGAAGTAGAATTGCAGGGTCAAAAATGCTGTGATTTTTTTCAGTTCGATAGAAGTCATCAGCTTGCCCTCCACGGAGGCGGAGCCATCGAATGGTCCCCACCCGGGGTGGGTCGGGGGTGTCCTTGACTACACAGCAGTGCCCACGGGGGTTTTGCTAAGATCACAGGTGGAAGATGGCACTGGCAGGCTCTTTTCCTCTCGCATTTTCCTCATTAAGAGTATAGTTGAGCCTGTTTTTATTTAAGAGCCATTTTATTTCTTTTTCTGTGACTTTGTTTATATCTTGATAAAGAAAATTATAAAGTGAACCTCCCCAAATCCCAACTCCCGTAAAAAAACATGCATTTTTACTGAATTTCTTCGCATGCAAACATATTTTTATGTACCATACTTAATATTAGTCGGCCCCCCTCCACTGCGTAAGCTTCATGTCGACCATTTCTCTGTGCCTGCATGTGGCATTTCATTGAGTTAATGTACCGTATTAAAATAACCGTTTCCAGTTCCTGGACATTTGAGTTTAGTACCCCCCCATTTTAGGTGAGCTAGGCAGTTTATTGGTTCTTTAAAACACTTTAATACAAGACCAGGAGATACATATGTCTTGCGGATGTGCAGGGGATTCTGGAGTCAAAAATCTCACAGCAGCAGTGTTTGTCATCCCTGTGCTGACAGGTGATGTGAGCGGCACTAATGTAATTGTTATGTGTATGTAATTGAAAGTTGGCACCATGATCCATTTTAAAACGACATCTCAAAAACATCAGAGTCAGTTAAATGACTAGAAGTATGGTAATCGGAGTCTGATCTGGCATTTCATCAACTGGACCACCACGGTACCTGGCCGTGCTAGAGCTCTGTGTGTAACGGTGTTTGATCACACCGAAGGCTGAAGGCAGAGACAGATTACATTCCGTGTCGTTTTGGGTTGTGCTAGGAGTCGGCTTAGCCGTGAGTCCCTGCTCCACTGCTTGAAGACTGTGTCTTTCGGGGTGAATTGTTTAACTTCTGCAAGTGTGCATGTCCTCATTTATAAAGTGGAGAGGCTAATCTTGCTCATCTGAGAGGATGAATGAGGAGGAACGTATGTGAAAGTACATAAGGCACTGGGCACAAGCGAGCTCTTGGAAGTGTGTTTGACAGTAAGTGTAGTTTAGTATGTGATAATTCTTGGGAGAGTGGGATAGAAACCCAATTTAACCAAGCAGTTTTTACTCGGAAGTCTCCTCGTTTAAACAGTGGGTAGCTAAGAGTTTAAGGTGCCTGAGTTTGCAGTTTGCAGGTAGAAGGCAAATGCTTCAGGAGAAAACAAGAAGAGACCAAACGGAGAGGTAGGACCTGTCAATTTTGAAAAATTCAACTGCTGACATGTTCCACACAAGAGTTCGCCCCTGCCAGCTGTCAGAACTCTCTTCTTGCTGCAGAAGGAGCTGCTGTCAGTGTCATCAGGTGGTGGACCCCTGTGGTCAGCTGTTGCTTGTGAGCTGTGGGGTAGGGGCAGGACAGTGAGGCTGGAGGCCAGGCCAATGTGTGTGCATTGGGGCCACCCTGTTCTCAGGTCCGTGTGTGTGTTCAGGTGGCAGGTATCATAATGCAGGTGGTTTAGCCTGGTGATTGGTGGCACTAATCCTAGCATTGGGCTCTGGGGGTCTGACGATGGCTCTACTGCTTATTAGTTGTATGAGCAAGTTAATCTCTCTGTTTCTTTAGTTATAAAATGAGGCTAGGCGAGCTCTACTTCATAGAGTTTTGTGATAAAATGAGAGACCGTATGTCGGCTCAATAAATGTGCTTCATAAATGCTCCGTAAGTGTTAACTATCATCATCATTTTTCTTTAGTATAATAATTATATTACTAAGAAACCTCATCTAATCAAAAGTTATATTTTAACCTTAATGGTGCAGAAGGAATTAAGTGGTAGGCTATTTCAGACTCAAAAAGTGAAATTACTTTTACTATATGCATTCTAAGAGTGTTCGTGTATATGAGTGTTTTACTGGTTCTAAGTATATGAGTATATGCTCATTGTAAAATTGAAACGTCCCTGAACAAATTCAGCATTTTATTTCACATTTCTTTTTGCTCAAAATTAATGATTTTCCTTTCGTGCTATCATTAATTCATTTCCCAATGAATTAAGAAAACTCAAGCTATGAAGACAGGTGTTCACAGGAAGACACACATTGACGTGAGAGAAACAAGAAAATGGGTTGTTGGGTTATTGAGACATTTTCTGTTTCTGTTCGTTGTGTTATCTCTTGCTGTGGAACAAATTACCTCCGAACTTGGCAGGTTAAAACAACAAATGTTTATGTTCCTCTACACTTTCTGTGAGTTAGGAATCTGGGAATGGCTCAGCTGGGAGGTTCTGTCTCTGAGTTTCTCATAAGGTCGCAGGCAAGCTGTTGGCCAGAGTTGGCCATCTCAAGGCTTGGCCATCTCAAGCCATCTCTGAGCCTCTGGTTCTTTGTCTGTCTAAAAATTAAAAGGAGGTGGGTGGCATGGGGCGCGCCCCCACCCCCCAATCTTGTAACCTAATCTTGTAACAGCAGGTGAGGCGATGTTAAGCAGGATCTGGGTGACTGTGTCATGGTCACTGCTGGCTCAGAAGGGCTGTGGCTAGTCCCTGTCTAGGGAAGCAGCATGGTGACTCTGGTCTTGACTGTGCCACTTAGTAACTTCTCAGATCTCAGTTTCCTGGTCTATAAACGGGGGCATAATAATCTTAACTGATATTAATATGCTTTTGGCAGTAGAAACCCAAAGTAGATGAGCTTGGGTCAGCAGGTGAGTTTTGTGTTGCTGTAACAAACTTGTCACTTCTTTTTAGGCATCACTGGACCGGGTGCTCTGGTGAGGTCAGTACCCTTCCTCGCCTCTTGGCTCTGTGTCCTCTGTGTGTTAGCATCCTTCTGAGGGTGGGCCTCTGCACACAGCCTCAGAGATGGCTTCCGGTAGCACCAAGCGTTGTGCAGGAGCGAAAGAAGAGACTCTCCTGATGTCCACATGTAACATTTTAGGACGATGCTTCAGTGGATGTGTTGTGGCCAGGAGTGGGCAGAGGCCATGATTGACGCCGGGCAGGCAATGGGCAGATAAATCACGTCCATACGTTTCCTCCTAGGATGGTGGGGAGTCCATGAGTAATGCTCCTAAGGCAGTCGGCGCACGTCCAGGCCCATCATAAACACTCAGGGGACATTCCCCGCTTTCTCCTCTTAGCTGGCGCCTTGTCTGTGGGTGGCTAGGGCTGCCGAGGCGAGGCCAGATCTGGGGCTCCTCCCTTGTCCCAGCTTCCCCTTGCGGCGAGCATCTTGGAGCCTTTCTCCACCGACCTTCATTTTACCTTCAGTTCCTCCTGTTGTTTTTCCAGCCCTGCCTGCCCAGCATGTGTCCCTTTGTTTATCTGTCCCCGATGCGCTGCCAAGCAGTGACCTGCTGTCGCAGTGTCCTGGTATGAGGCAGAACCGTATTGCACGACTGTAAGGGAAGGCTGGACCAGGAGTCTCGAGAGCCCTGCTCACATCAGGCCATCCAGCCCCTCGGGGGACCTTTATTGGCTTTCTATGAAGGCTTTAAATCTCAGTATCTCCTCGAAGGCTCAGTCTCTGCCTTTTAAAAAAAATTTATTGGAGAAATATGAAGGCTGTGCCTTTTGTGAAAAAGGCCAGTAAATCTCTTCAATGTCTATCTAAAGACATTGATTGTATTTTTTATCACCAGAGGCTGACGGTCAGAGTTGAAGAAGTCGAACGTGGGAGACACTGGCTTGAAATCTGAGCCTGTCCTGGGTTAAGGATGGCCTTCGGAACCAAGAGTTTGGGCCTTTTCATGGCCAGCTTCCCAGTTATAATACCTTCTCTAATAGCGAAGGCCAGTAGGTTTCCTCCCGTTGCCACCTCTGGGCGTGTCTGCTTGGGGTTCTGGGTTGAGAAGGATTCTGGGGTTTCACCTGGGCTCAGCAGGACGGAGTGCCGGTATTGATGAGCAATGTCTGCTGTGGACATGGGATGGGAACATGGTGGCAAGCACACCAAGAATTTACCATCCCCATGCCAGTGCTGGTGGAGCGGTGGAAACTGCTTGAGAAAGTCCCAAAGCCAAGATGGCAGTGTTGCACATGAGGCTGAAAAAGGGAGAATCTGGCATTCTTTTGTGAAGTCCCCATTATTCGGTTCTGTCTGGTAAAAGAAACGTGATCTGGAAGACTATCTCAACCCATTGCGTAAAACAAAAACTGCTCTCAGGTTTAGTAGAGACCAGAAATAAGAGCCAGTGTTTGTGCATCTTTCAAAAAATTAACATTTGCTATATTGTCTAATTCCAAAAGCCCATGTTTACGGATTGAGAGCTGGGGGGAAATATTGGGATTCTCTCACTAGAGCTGCTGCCGTGGACACCGT